CACGGTTCCGGCGCTCTGTTCGGCGCTTGCTTGCGGTCCGGCCGTTCGGACGCGATGGTTTCCGCTGCCTTTTGCCCATCCGGCGGACTGGACACGTGCACGGTCGCTGCGACGCTGCCTCTCTGGTAGAGGTAGATCGCGGATTCGTGCTCCGGCCACCGGGGCAACCGAGCAAGGGCACTGGGCAGTGCGTCTTGGGTTTCGTTGGTCCACTCAATGAACATTCTTTTTATATCGCGCGCGTCTACAATAGATTTTTTTTTAAAAAAAATTATTCCATATACTCTAATATAGTTAGTCATAATTTTACTTAGACCCGTTTAGATCCTTGGAATTGAATCCATTCTAATAATTATAAGTTAGACACAGATTAATTAAGCTAATATGGTTGTATATGAAATATATTTATATATTACCTGTTAGTCATACAAAGCAGATACTTATATGTTGTATTTCTACTGTAGAGAAAGTGAGTTGAAGAGCATGCTATAAGTTTTAGGAGTAGAAATATTGCATGGTGATCTATATAATCAATTTCTATCTCCCACCATTTGAATTTGTGATAGACTTATTTGCGAGCTTAGGAAAAGTTATGGAATATTAAATTTTAAGCCAAATAACCTAATCCATTAAGTAGATTTAAAAAAAAAAGATCCAAACGGCCTCTTATGTAAAAATTCTAAAAAAAAACAACAATATATGTTGTATCTAGAGAGCCACATAGCTTCTCAAAAGTGGAGAGCAAGAAAGGTGGTTCTGCAATGCGAAAAGTTAGAGAGTATTGTTTTATAAATTTTGTGATAACTAGCAAATATGTTCGTGAGTTGCAACATGATGTACAATTTGTTGTCCCACGCTTATGCCAATGATAATGAGATAACTATTTTTGTTGGATTTAATTGGACTTAGTCCAACCTTAAATCAAATAAATCCCAAGAACCATAACAAATGCTAGAGCTATAAAAGATAATCACATATGGAAAATTGAGATGATATTGACTTAACTTAAGTAGGTGGTTATTGTGTGCACTTGTGAGTTCAAGAAAAGTGGAAGACAAGCCATACGTCCACATGTGCCTTGTGACCTGATGGGCTGAGTGATCAGACTATATCATGAGTGGTGTTGTGGCGACAAAGGTTTTAAAGCTCCAAGCTTAAAAGAGGATATGGAAGAGAGTGAGAGACGGAACCAATGAAAATTTTTACGGCTCCAAATTTAAAGAGGAACCAATGAAAATTTTTACGGCTCCAAATTTAAAGAGGACAGTGGAGAAAGCGAGAGAGGGGACCGATGAAAAGTTTTGCATATCCAATTTCTAAAAGGACGTGGAAGAGAGTGACAAACGGAAGAGTTCCAAACACAACGAGCACGATGAGGACACTAGAGACAGATGGACGTAGGAGAGAGTGACGGATGGTAAAAAAATTTAGGCCCCGTTCGGTTTACCCCATATTCGATTTGTTCGACTTTTTTTTTAGCCGGAACAATATTTTTCTCTCACAACAATTTAGCCAGAACAGTGTTTTTCAGCCAGTTTCAGCCAAAATTCTGCCAGCCGAACGGAGTCGTATACATATAAATATATAATAAAAAACCACATAGAAAGTTTCTTAGAAATGCTCTTATATTTTTTTGATACACAATATTACAAAAATGCTTATTGCTTACGAGTTACTTCTTTCGTTCTAAATTGTAAAATCTTTTCACTTTTCTAAACACACTGTTTTTATCATGTATCTAAATACATTGTCAATTTAAATGTATAGCAAAAACTATGTATTTAGAAAAGCCAAAACGTCTTACTGTTTGAGATGGAGAGAGTATGATTTTAGGAACATGATGAAATACTATTACGTTTGTTCGGATACACAGCAATTGCTTAATTACGAGTTATTTCCGCCATATTAAAATAAGTGTACTTTTAGCATTTTAAATTTATTCTATAATTACTATTAGATAATGAACTATCTAAATTTCATAGGTTTTATTACTTTCTCAATTTTTAAAGTGCAATCTTATCTTATCTATATCTATATATCTTATATTTTCAAACCCAACTAGCAATTTACTTTGCTATGCAAAGTATCCACATCAATATCCGCTAGAACATCCCACTAGCACATGCAACTATCTCGTCATACAAAATATCCACATCAACATCCACTACCACATCCAACTAAGAGGGTGTTTTGTTTGGGCCCCTAAACTTTAGTCTCTCCTAAATGGTTTAGTCCTATTTAGTCACTCCAGAGTTACTATAGAGGACCACATTAGCATCCACTAGAACATCCCACTAGCACATGCAACTATCTCGCCATACAAAGTGTCCACATCAGCATCTACTAACACATCCAACTGTCTCCATTCAAACTATTCACATTAGCAAACCACATCATTTACTAACATATATTTAGTTGTCTACATTAGAATACTAAAAATCATCCACTAACATGTATTATGATATTTATTTATATTAGTAATATAAGTAGTATAATCTCACCAACGATTCCCGCAGCAACGCGCGGAGCATTCTTCTAATACTACTCTTATAAAGCAAAACCCCACTAATTATTTATCTCAACATACAAGGTATGTAACTATGCAATGCACTACAACATACAATAAAAATCCACTAAGCAAAATCCCACTAGCTATTTATCTCAACATGTAAACTGTCCAACTAGACAATACACTATCACATACAATTAAAATCCACCAACACATGCAACTGTAATGTTCACATTAGCAAGACGCATAAGCATTTTGTTGTTCACATTATCATACCACACAATCCACTAATCCGGTATGCTAGTTATTACATGATGGAACAATTTTTGATAAGCCACGACCAATCCCTACACCCCAAATTAAATTATTCTCTAGAATTATCCTAAGCCAAGCTACCTTAAAATTAATTAAATTTATAAACAAAAGAGCACAAATATTTACGTATTACTAGGTATGTCACATACTATTTTTTTCTTAAGACTAATTTGAAAACTCAAATCCCCTTAGATCTCTGACTTTTTTAGGGTGGAAAATCCATGAAGAAATAAGTTGAATAATTATTTAGTTCTTTATGGAGTGTTTTTCATCTCTGGATATGCCTCTCCCTACTTTTAAATTAGTCCTTAATGTACTTATTTAGTGTCTAGATATTTTTTCTTTCGTATAAAATTAGTAAAAATTTAACAAGTTGATGCCATTAATTAACTTATTATGAGGTGAAGAAAGTATTTATATTTATAATTTTATAGTACTATTATTTTTTTCTTAAATATACCATTATTTTTCTAAATTATTGTAAAAGTGTACTAACTTAGAGCATCTCTAACAGTTCAAAAAATAGTTGGTAAATCAATGAGTTTACCAAGTGGCTAAAATTTTGGGAGCATATTTGTTAGCTTCCTCTAACAGTTTTTAAAATCTGGCTCCTAAAATATAGAAGACAATTTTGCATTAGAAATTCTGGACTAGTTTTAAATCACTCTAACCACTTTTATTCTTTCTTATTCATTTGCATTGGGGAATTTTTTTCTTATTTTTCTCCACATCCTTCCACCTTTAACGGTTCATGCGCCTATGCGACGGGGTGGATTTTCCTAAGTGTGTAAAGATTATAAGTTGAGAAAGGAAGTTGTTGGAGATCAATTTTTTAATCTTATCCAGAACCAAGATTGGAAGTGAATTTTCAGAACTATTGAAGACGCTTTTAGACTATCTCCAACAACCGTTACCTAAAAAACAAGACACATTCTATGTTTAGGTAGCGCTACAGGCAAAGGGTTCAATACCTATTTTTAGTCTTGTCCAACAACTTAGACTAAAAGAGAACCTTTTCTGTAAATGGATCTACAAGAGAGAGAATATTGAGATTTGGGTTATACCTCTTATATTCTGACACTCAAAATAAGTGTTCTATATTCTGACACTTAAAGTAAGTCTTCTATATAGGTACTCTGTCGGAGGTTTTTGATATTATATTAGATAACTATTTTAGATTTGGGTCTTTGATTGGTTCAAGCCTTACGAACGGGGTCTGGGCACCTCTGTTTCCTTTGCCACGACTTACAAACGCACCCTTAGCCGCTTCCACCGTAGAGAAAGCGTTTTCTGACTTCGGAATCCCGTTCTCTCTGGCCTCTGGGCCGTCTGGGAGAAAATTGAATATTTGACACTAAATCCGGAGGTCGGTGAACATTTGACATCCAATTCGCGCGTCGTTGAAAATTTAACACTCTGGCTACGAATTCGTTAAAAACAGATGTTTTCTCATACTTTTCTTCATTTAACATTTTTTTTCTTTTTTCTTTTGCTTTCCAAAGACAACGTACCTTGGCCTTATCCATCCATTTCTTCTAATAAATGAACGCATCTCTCTCCCGTACTCATTTTTCTTCGGCTCTGTTCGTCACGCCGCCGCCGCTCTTCTTTGTTCTTCACGCCGCCGCCGCTGGGTGCCGGAAGAGGCACTCGCCACCGGGCATGGCTACAAGCCTTGTGAAAGCCGGGGGGGGCGGGCTGGTCGCCGGTGCTGGATGAGCCGGCCATGCGTCTTGCTGACGATCGCGGTCGCTGCTGGTGCTTGGCGCCAAGCGCTAGCCAAAGCTCATTGCTTCGGCTCCGCCCACTGATGGAGGCCGTCAGGTGCAGCCCAGGCGCCATGCATGGGTCGAGCAACAATGAGGCAAGGTACTTTGGTCATTCAACGTTGCCTTGGAAAGCAAAAGAAAAAAGAAAAAAATGTTAAATGGAGAAAAAGGAGAAAATATCTATTTTCAACTAATTCACAACTAAAATGTTAAATTTTCAACGACACACGAATTGGATGTTAAAATGTTCACAGCCTCCAGGTGTCAAATATTCATTTTTCTCGCCGTCTGGGGTCTGGGCTCCTCTGTTTCCTTTCATCACCCTCCTCGCCATCGTGTTCCCCTAGGCTTTCTTCTCGCGGGCACCACCGGCAGCTTCCTTTGCCACCGCAGCCCCAGCGCCGTCCATGGAGCCCCCGCCGCTCTCCTCGTTGCAGGAGGAGGGGGAGGAGGAGCCCACCGTCGAGGACTCGTCCGCCTTCTCCGCCGCCGCCGTGCCGCCACGCCCCGCCACGCAGTAAGCCATTCGTCACCCGCCCCCCCTCCACACTTCTCCCGCACCTCCTAATTCCCCTTTCGGAACCGCGATGCCCTAATTCGGTACCTCTGCAGCAGCCACTCGCTCCAAAAGTACGCGCCGCTGGACTGGTCCGCCTACTTCGACGAGGAGCGCCGCGTAGCCATCCCCGACACCGACGACGTGAGTTTTGACCTTAGCCGGAGTTCTCTCGGGTGCTTCTGTTACGCGATGCGATCTAAATGTTGGATCCTCCTCTTCTCTTAAATATTTTTCTCTCTCTAATTATTATAGGTTTTCAACCCCAACTTGCTTGGGACTGAAAGGCTATGTTGTTGTTGTTTCAATGTGTACACGGCCGGATCGGAGGGGCCCGTCGTGTTCTGCCTGCACGGAGGCGGCTACTCAGGGTAAGTCTGGCGCCGAGGTTTATCTACGACTAGTCTACACGTTTTGCTGGTGAATTCTGCAAATGTCCATGTGTTGGGACTTGCCGGAAATACTTAGCATGGGCACTGAGGTTGATTGGGATGGGTTCAATCTAAACTCTAAATAGTCTTTAGTCTTGCACTGTAAAATGTATTGGCGAGGAACTGGGGATGGAGCATAAAATGATTTTTAAGCAACAGCTGCTATCTGTGACATTCAAAGTTGTGAGGGCAACATTAGTGCTTATTAATGAGCTTAAGGGCTGCGCTTGAATAAACCAGTGTGAAATGCTTATTTTGTGAAATTAAGAGTTGCGAGTGCATCTTGCTGAATTTCCAGAGCAATCCTTCTGGAACCTTCTTCCCACTGTGTGTTATTGAAAACGTAGAAATCACATCTTCTGCTGCAGTTGTGAAACATTTTGTCAAATTTCATTGTTGATTAATGATTAACCCACAGTAGGGCACATGTTGAATGTACAGATGCTGCAATCAAATGTTTTCTTCCCGAGAATGTTCACAATTGATCTTTATTCTTGGTAAGGTTGTAAATAGCTAGCTATAGCTGTGTTGTACATGCCTCTATAGGTGTTGTAGTATATATTGGTGCCTTTCCGCTACAAACATGATTTGAAACCTTGTTTGGTAGGGAAGCATGTGAAGACAATTTTTTTTTCCCGATAATCTTGCAACACCTGCTTTAAATGACTTGCCTTCTTATGCAATGCTGTCATAGCAAACTTGTCTATTGGAAAAAGAGTGCTTACTTTGCTGCAATTATTCTTTGATCTGCCTTAGGCTTTCATTTGCTCTAGCAGCAAGTCGAATGAAGGACAAGGCTCGTGTTGTTGCCATGGATCTACGGGGGCATGGGAAATCAACAACGAATGATGATCTGGATTTGTCCATCGAAGTATGCCCATCATGTTTTCAGACTTCTTTTCTATAATCATAATGGTTACGCTCTCATGCTTATTTAGTTAATTGGTAGCTGCGCTTCTGTTACATAAGTTTTCTTGTGATTTGCTCATTGCTGGACACATTTCAGTCTTTAAAAGCGTTTTTGTTTGCCTCTGCAGACTCTTACCAATGATGTCATAGCTGTTATACGTACAATGTATGGAGATTTGCCACCAGCAATTATACTCGTTGGGCATAGGTTAGTCAGCAGCATGCATTTTCCCTTTTGTTTTCTTCTGTTGCGTCCGCATTATCTGAATCAGTCTACAAATGGTTAACTAACCCTAGATGAGGCTTTCCAAAGACAATATAAACAGAGGAGCGAATTGCCAAATAGACCCTGAAAAGTTACTTTTTAACGTTTTGAAACTTCCATTGAAACACCATGCTCTTAATCAGTTCCAGCTTAATATATGTTATCGCTTTGCTTTATAGAATTCCTCCTTTTATATTTTAAATTCAGCCAGCCCATTTGTATAGAATATTTCTATTTCTATCTATAGCTTAATTCATTGGAAAACCTTACTAATAGAATGGTTGAACTTCCTTTTTAGCATGGGTGGTTCAGTGGCTGTACATGTGGCTGCAAGAAAAGAAATTCGAAATCTTCATGGGCTTGTTGTCGTTGATGTTGTTGAGGTTAGTAAGAGTTTTTTCCTTATTGGCATCTTACTTTGTGGTTGTGCAATCTTAATCACTATTACTGATTCTGGCATATCTTTATTCTAAACAGGGAACAGCAATGGCTTCACTGGTTCATATGCAGAAGATCTTAGCAAATCGGGCACAGCATTTTCCTAGCATTGAAAAAGCAGTATGTTGATTTCGACCTACATTGTTTCTGACACCTCAAATCAGCTTTGAATATGTATAATTATCCATTGTCCTCAGTATCTTAAGAGATATCTTGTTCATCACTTTAAGCTGAAATGAGTAACTGTCAGTCACATATGTATTTGAGTTGTGTGTGTACGACATGGACACAAACATGCAAAGGCTGAAAATAAAATGGAAGAACAACTATACAATGAAACTAATTTCAATTTTGAATCAGTGTCATGCATATGAAACCATGTAATTATAACCATTCTCGCTGAGACAGCAATTGATATTGTTAAAATTATTTCCACTCCTTTTTTGTTGTTCAATCAATTTTGGAATCATGCAGATTGAGTGGAGTGTCAAAGGTGGGCCATTAAGGAATATTGAGTCTGCTCGTGTGTCCATTCCATCTACCTTGAAATACGATGAATCACGAGAATGGTGAGCAGTACTTTGAGTAGTGTATGTTTTTAGTATTGTATCTCACAGGTCTATGCGCATAAAAATCATGCTGGCCTGTGGGCCACCATTGCAAATGTAGTATTTTTATTATTTTCAAAACTAATTATGCCGTCATACTTTGTTTCAGCTATACATATCGCACTCCTCTTGAGCAAACAGAAAAGTACTGGAAAGGATGGTGTGCTTTCAATCTGATGTTTCCTTTTTTTGTTAAAAGAAAATCTGTCATTTACTCATGTTTTGTAAAATCGTTTTGTCTTCTGATGCCCTTTTTTTTTTACTAATTCTCTTCTGTGATTAGTTGATACTAAAGTGCATGTGTTTCTTTGTTAGGTATGAAGGTCTTTCAGACAAGTTCCTATCTTGCCCAGTGCAAAAGATCCTGTTGTTAGCTGGTACCGACAGACTAGACAGGTTTGTTATGTTCGAGTATGAGGAATTATCTATTTTCTAGTCCATGTTCATGATGTTTACTCAACATTTAATTTCATCACCTTTTGCTAGTGACTTAACTCAATGTCATTCGATGTTCTGCTGCTTGTCAGTTGCAACAGATTGGGCTTGCAAAGTCAGCTTGTAGCATAGTTTATGAATTTTGGTCTATCAGCTGTTGATTATTACTGATAAACTATAAATCAAAAGGTAGCAAAAGTCAATTGCTTGTCATGATTATGGTCCGCAAAATATGGAAATTCTTGCCAGGCTTTGTTACTAGAGCTTTTGAATGACAAATCGGATGGGTGCTAATCAATTATCAAAATGCTGCTTTATTGAAGTGAAACCTCTTGTAAAATTGTTTGTCATGTTCTGAAATGTCGCTTTCATTGGATGTGGAATCCTATTGTCGTTATAGTTAAGTGTTCTGAAACATCAAACACCTTCAATCACTTGACGATACACTATTGAAGATAAATTGTGTAATGTATTGGTTATTTGGTTTACATTTTGCAGAGCTTTAACAATTGGTCAAATGCAAGGAAAGTTTCAAATGGTGGTGGTTCGGCACACTGGACATGCCATACAGGTTGGTTCTTAGTATGTTTGAGTTATGTTAATATATGAGTCCCTTGCATAATTCTTTCAAGTTTCAAGGCTAGGAGCTTTTGTACCATTCCTCTAGTTTCGTTCAGTTCAGTGGTTATTTCTAGAGCTTGTGATGATCCTGCTCTGCCTGAATGCTCTAGGGCTACTTTAAAATTTTCACTAATTTGCCTACACATAGCAATAGCAGGAACTAGCGATGAAAGGTTCATTCTCTGAATGCTGTTTATTGGTCTGTGAACTTCTTTTCTTTCGGGAAGCATTGGTTTAGGAATATGGTCTTAGCCAACGAATTACAAATCTTTACCACTTTTGACACATCATCAAATCGTTATTTCAGGAAGATGTACCTGAAGAATTCGCATCGCACATACTGAATTTCATATCCCGCAACAGAATAGGGCCGAACGGTGTCGAGGTCAGTAATGAACCTATCGTTTGCACTCGCCTTTACTATTTGAAATATATGCAATTTCTCCCCCTTTTCGTTTCCTTGCCTTGACCTAATATTTGGCACTTCACTTTTCTCAGATACCTGGGCTAATTAAAAAATGGCAGCACTAGACATGATATACAAGTTACTGTTCTAGTATTGGCAGTGTTTAGGAGAATGATGAGTAGATCTGCCTATCCGAGTTCTCTTCGTATCGAAGAGAAAAAAAAGGTTCAAGATGATCACGCAAGCGTGAACAATCAATCATTGATTTCATCATCTGGTGGCAAACTCCCCCATGTCGCATGAGTTACTTTGTTTATGACATCACTCTGCGACCTGCTGGTGTCTTTTGTACGAGGGTTCTTGTATTTTTGTATGTAAAGCTGAGTGCACTGTAATGCTTTCCATGAGGTTATTATACTCCAATCAAGCCGGATAAGCTCGTTATGATACCTCTGTTTGTTTGGATATCTGCTGACTTCGACAAGCTTAGTGGGAATCAATCGAAGAAGCCTGCTTTGAGTTGCACGTTTCAAAAGCCACACAAATTATCTTCCGTTGCAACGGAGCCAAGACGAGCAAAAGCCCAAACAACTATGCCCGTGCATAGGGACGATCTTTGTGAAAGGTGTACCAAATCAAAACATACTGTAATATCTGGCAGCTGAAGACGGAGAAGGCCCAAAAACAAAACGTCTGTCAAGCACGTGCCTAAACATTTGAAATTAATCCTACATGGTTAGCAATTCGGCTGTACAGTACTAATCCGGTGTAGAAACCCAAACATTTTTATTTGTGCCTAGGGACAGCAAGGTCCGGTTTCCGGCATTTCCGCTTCGTGAAACCAACACACTCGGAACGTCAAAATTTGACTCCTATTTCAAATAGGACTTCGTCGTCCAAAATCCATCCTCTCCTTTCCAAGTGCACTCCAATCGAACTCCTATTTGCCTTCCTATATTTCACCCGTCTAATTATACATGTCTTGTAACTTGCAAGTTAAACTTTAGTAGAGAAATGTGGTTAAAATGAATAGAAAAAATGACATACGAAACAAGCACAACACATGATAAAAATAAAACAACCTAAGAATAAGGAAATAATAACATAAGTAAAAAAACCACAACACATTAAAATAGCAACCTCTTGGGCGTGCTCTCTCATTCTTTTCTTTCCTCAAGGTTCGGTGCTTTATCGCTGTAACTGTTTGCGGAGCGATCGACTCCCGTTACTGCCTTTTGTTTCGGTTGGAGCGAAACCGTTCACAGAGGAATCCGATGCGGACGCTCGAAAGATCATTACCGCCACCTCCAGGCTTCATCCATTTGCGCTCCCCGCAGGTCGTCGCATGCGACAACCTTTTTCATTGCAGTGTAGCAGGTAGTGGCGGCAACTCTTTCCATTTACGTTACCACTCCCTGCGTGGAATCAAACATCACCTCAATCCTCTTCGTCCCTTCCCTTCCCTTCCCTCTCTCCCTCTTCTAGTGCAGCTAAGTGGTGTGGTTCAAGCAGGAGCCACAAACCAACGGATGTGGCAAGGGCAAGCCTAGGAAGATCTATTGTGAGCCAGCGCGAGTGGGTCTACTACGAGGGTGACAAGACGTAGGCAGAACCGGGCGACGGAGGCGATGATTGGTAGGATTTCGTTGACGGCATTCTCTCTGTTTATGTCTCTTTCTCCCTTTCATGGCCCACCAGCGTAGGAGCTCCCTACGACAGAAATGTCCAATGTGGGAGGCTCGACGCTTGCTCATGGCGTGACGAGGGGCTCTTACATCTGGGGTTGAGGAGAGAGAAATGAGAGGGCCTTATCCATCTGGGCTTGAATGAGGAGCTGGTTGGAGGTTTGTTTTCGCTTGTTCAACCCTTAAGAGAGAGGTAGAGGATAGGATGAGAAATTGGAGTTGCTCTTAGGGTCCGTTTATTCACTGTATTTTCTTACCTCATCTAGCAAGGCGAGCCAAATCGACTTATCTAAGCTGGTAAAGAAAAACCTTGCTTGCATCAGAGGTAGGCGAGCAAAGTAACCAAACGCGCTACCTATTCTAGTTTCTTACTCAATGGGCCGAGAGAAGCAAGAACATGGCTGCTGAGGGGCTCTAACCCCTACTCCCACAGTACTGTAGATCAATGTTTGGAACTGTAGATCACTATATAGTAACCTAGAAAATGGCTCCGGCTCCGCCTGCAAATGAACTGGCAAGAGAGGAGCCGGAGGAGCCGATGATTTGGGGCTTCTCTCGCTTCGAACAGTACCACTACACTATTGCAACAGTGCCAAAGCCGGGAGAAGCCCCTTCAAATAGACCCTTAAGTCTACAACACTTGACTAGGTTATATGCCAGTAATTTTTCAGAGGAAAGAGTGAATTATATTAAAACTCGACAAATACATCATAGAATTACACATAAAACCCTAATAAAATACATTCAAACATGTTTAATGAGTTACTACGTCTTCTTTAATAACAAAAAAAAAAGATCATCAGAGCAAACTAATTAGTTCCAAAATTTCATATTTAAAAACAAAAGGAGTATTGCTAACAACAGATTTCAGCTGCTAAATTATTACCAAATAATTGACGATGCCAAAGCACATTTAAGCTGGTATAGATCAATTGGATATCATTAAACATTCTCACAGGACGCGCAGAAGAACAATATCCTGCTGAATGGTGTAGGCATCGCTAAAAGGATATAGCTCATCCAAAAGGCTGATATTTAAAGCTTTACCTCAATGTACAAAGTAAAGTTTCACTATCTAAGGAACTATTTTACATGACTTCTCATGCCACATGAGTTAAGATGAAAGGGGGAAAAAGTAAACACGAGAATGTTATCCCTACTTTAACCTGTTTTATCTTCACAAAACTTTGGAGATACAGTCACAGCCGGAGTTGCAAGACTAAATATGGCCAGAGCCAGGAGAAGTAGCATGGGAACCCCCTCAGTTAGTCCTTGAACAAAAAACGGAACATCAAGTCAAAAGGCTATCATAGGATCATGTCACGACTTGCTTGCATCTCTATATGCTCCTGGTCACCTATGGCAAAGGTATCAGCAACTGGAAAATAAACCAGAATAACGATACCGACCATGGCAGCAAGCATCAACACAAGGAAGGAAACAAACACAAGAGCCTCATGGACTACTTCACCAGGCCAAGGAAGAACCGATAACCCAAGAAGTGTCGCTCGGGGAAGTAATATTCCGGTGGCAAAAATGAGCATATATATCCTTCGCCGGAGTCCCTTATTGATCACCAAAGACAGCACCTGACGTCCGACAAACATGACATAGACAGTCAAAATGATGTAAAACGCCCCAAGAAATACGCTGCTGAACAGTGGATACGTGCATGTAATGTTGCCGTTGTGGATTGCAGAGGCAGAATACCAATACTTTGAAACCTTTGATCGCTGACCGTCATCTGAGGAAACACGACCACCAACAAAAACAACACAAGCTTCCCAGATCAAAGAAGGCGAGCAGAGAATGAATACTGCACGTATAGTCTTCCGGTTCCATTTCCTATTCAAGGTACCAAGCTCTTGCTTCTGCAAAGCTGCGCTAAGAAGGAAAGAGAGCAAGAGGAACAATCCTGGTTCTGCAAACCCCAGATTTGAGATGATGTAGAATTTGCACACATTCACTTGCCATGCCCGGTTAGAGATTAGCCTTCCCTCCCCGTTCACAAAGGTGAGCCTGAGTACCTCGCCAACGCCCCACCACAATGCAACCAGCATCAATATTATCCGAGTCAGCCATGGCCCGTTGAAGTAGCTAAGCCGCTGGTAGCCTCTTCTTTTGATCCACAGTTGGAAGTACACTGAGCGGCAGAGGCAAATTAGGCCCAAGATGGAGACTATGGAGATGAGAGCAATGGTCACCACACCAATGATATTGGTGAAATATGTGATCAGGTGCATTACATAAAGCACCGCAACTCCAGATCACCAAGCATTCTCACTTTTATTATCAACACCAGAGGCTGTTCTCACATCCTAGAAACCGAACAAAACACTAAGAAAGGAAACCTGCAAGGGAAAGGGAGCAAGACATTTATCAACAGATGGAACACATACAAAAGTACTCCGTAGGTGCTAGCAACACATCTATTTATTTGCAACAGTAGATGAAACATAATACTTGTCAACGGTAGACTTCAAATGGGCAACAATAACAAATGAAGCTTCCAATCTAGTACTTCATGCTTATCTTTGACATGGCTCTGTCCACCAAACATTGGACGTGTTCAGCGTCATAAGCCTATTACAAGTTTACAACTCCCTTTTGAATTGTCTAACAAAGCTCTGTCTCACTTTCCGTCTGAAATTTACGGTGACTTCTATGGATGGAACTCTCTCCAGATCCACCAACTATTGCGTTATGATTAGGTGATCATTGCCCATTACCTAATTACATATATAACACCAACACGACAGGGAAAAAGAAAAGACGACCACGAAGACTCCAACAAGCAAAAACTATCCAGATTGATGCAGGATCAGCTGACCTATTCAGAGAGGTAAATCTACTGTATTATCTATAAACTACCTAATGGTCTCAGCGAAATAGAAGCAAAATTCTCAAAAATTACTGTATAACTAACAAGGTTCTAATATGAGGCACACAATATCCCCCGCCCTCCCAATTCCTTAGCAGAACCGAAGGATCATACAATCCGCAGAATAGAATCCCTAACCGTACGATTCGAAGAATTTCAACTAATAATGCTAACAAATTGAATTCCTAGGTCATCAGTTTAATAACGATGCATCAAAATTGCTTCGGAAGAGCAAACGAAGCTGGGAGGTATTTTCATCAGAAAAAGAAGAAGTTGGGAGGTAATTTACCAGACGAATTTGCGAGATTGAGCAGCCGAGGAAGCGTCTGCTGAGCCGGCGGCAGAGCAATGCACCGGAGCGCCGAGGCGGGGCAGCGGGATATATACCAGCGGCGCGCTAGCAAACCCCCCGGCGCCGGCGTGTCGGCCGTCGGCGACGGCGATCGGCGACAGAGCGCGCGCCGCGTGGGTGCACTATCTCGCGCCGGCGCTGGGATCGGTTCTGTGTCCTCCACCCGCAAGGCGAGTCTCGATGTCTGTCTGTCCTCGTGAGAATCAG